AAGATCTTTGGCATCTACCCTGGTTGTCACTGACTGTTCATATATCAGTCTTTCATGGCCAAAATGTTTTTGAGGATGACTGGGCAACTAGACCACCCAAATCTAAGGAGCATTTGTCTTAATTGCAAGGACATCTACAAAGAATTCATCCTTTAAAAAGCCTGCCATTCAGTAGTGAGAAAGAAAAATGCATTTCATATGAGATAGGCCATCCCTGCAACACAAGGGTCTTTTTCTTTGTCATATTTCTGTGGTTCTCATCACCTTCTGTACCTACTTTCTATAACCTCTGTCTAGGGTCCCAATTCCTAGGGACCCAGAGACTCAACATCACTCCACCATGATACCAAACTCTCCCCATTCCAACCCCATTACCATTCAAGTGTCTTTCCTACATAGCTTTGTAAGACTTGAATAAGCTAAAGTGACTCTATGCTAATAGGCCAAACTGTGCTTCTTCATATGCTAATTGCTAACTTGGCTAACAGCCTGCCCAGGGGCAAATGGTATGACAAAAGGTGACCCTAGAACATTTCCTGCATAAGGTAAGCAATGTGTTTGCAGTCTTGTTCTGTGAATTCCCTGACTCTTTGTTAAGAAAAACCTTATAAAAAGTACCTCACCCCTGAGCAGTTGCCTCTCTGAGCTACCTGGCTCTGGGAGTGCCAACTGGCCAGACTAATAAAGGTCTATTTACCATCCAGCCTGGTGTGTTCCCTCCTGGGGTCCTCATTTCTCTGTAGAGCTCCTGGAGCCTCGCTGGGTGTTAGGGCCCAGCATTGTGGAGGCCTTTTTGGCTGTTCACAGATTTCAGAAGTAAGGCCCTGGGTCTTGCCTCTGGAGCCATCGTTGAGCTATAGGACTCAGAATCATGGAGGCCCTTTCAGCTGTTCAAGCTCCGTGGAGTGGAAGTGAAACTTTAAGTCTTACAGCTTCTCTTTAAGTGGGCAAATAACTAGTCAATCTGATAAACCAAATTAATGTCTTCTAAACTTTTATCATTGTCATCATTTCACTATGAACCAACTACATTGTTATTAACAAAATATTTTTATTTACATTGATTCATTTTTAAATATAAATAATTGCTTAATTTTAATCAATGATCTTCAAACACAGAGTTCTAATATGTTTTCTGTGTTAATGCATGTTAGGATAAATATATGTTTAGAACTATTAAAATAAAAATGCTTATCCATTTACTACTAAAACTACCTTCATGCTCAGTGATGGTATATGCCTTTACCTTTGGAAAAGAGAATACAAATTAAAATATTGACTGTGTTATTGGCCTAATGAGTGTTCCCTTCTGGAATAACATTTAATTTTAAAGGAAACCTTGAACATTGTTTACTTACTTTTTTTTTTTAGTTTATTGGTACGCTTTAAGTATACAGTACAGTTACATTCATTATTGGGATCTTGTACCTTTATATGACAGGGTCTTTGTTTTCATTTTTCCCCTTATCCCTGCCCTCCCTTCATCCCCTCCTCCCTCCCCATTTACAAACACTTTATTTCCATTTTTTCACTTTCTCATATTTTTTTCTTTTCCCTTATTCCCTTTCCCCTACCCTTCCCACTTCCCCTATACCTTTAGCCCCTTTCTTCCTACTTCACACTGTCAATTATCTCATTAGGATCTTATGTACTATGATAGTTTTTCACACCAGAGAAACTATTCTGCATTTACACATGTGTGACTTACTTATTTCACTTAGGAGTATATCCTCAATATGTATCTATTTTCCTATGAATGAATCTAATTTCTCATTCTTTATGGCTGAGTAGTATTCCATTTTATATAAAAACCTCATCTTCTTTATCCAGTTTCCAACTGATGGGCAAATGGTCTGTTTCCAGGTTTTAGCTATTACAGACTGTGCCGCAAGGGGAAAAAATGAGAATCATGACCTGTCATGTAGAGGTACAAGATCCCAACAATGAATGTAACTGTACTGAATCCCTAAAATGTACCAATAAATTCAATTATTTAATTAAAAAAAAAACTGTGGCACTATAAACATAAGTGTGCATATATCTCTGTGATGTGATTCTTTTAATTCTTTTCTCTTGGAAAGATACCCAGCAGAGGGATGGCTGGGTCAAATGGAACCTCCAGTCCAAGCTCTTTGAGGTATCTCCATATTGATTTCCACAGTGGTTGCACCAGTCTGCACTCCCACCAACAATGGAGGAGGGTTCCTTTCTCCCCACAACCCCGCCAACATTTGTTATTCTTTGATTTCTTGATAGCAGCCATTCTTTGTGGGGAGAGGTGGAATCTCAGTGTTGTTTTCATCTGTATCTCTCGAATGACCAGTGATGTGGAACATTTTTTCATATATTTACTTGCTGTTTTAAATTCTTTGTCTGAGAAATGTCTGTTCATTTCAGATGCCCATTTTTGAATCAGGTCTTTATATTGGGGGGGCTGGTTGTTTTTAGTTCTTTATGTATTCTAGATAAGAAACCTACAGTTTTCTTTACTTTTAACTCAACTGATAGATGGAAAGAAAATGATATGGAAGCCATAAAATTTTTTGAGCCCAACAGAGTGAACTAGTCCTCAAATATTAGAGATTATATTATTTGTTTTTATTGTTGTTACCCTTTCCTATTGAGGCCATCCTGCTGGCATTGGAAAGATCCAGTTTTACCTTCTTTCAAGGCAGGAATATTGGGCCTAGATCCTCTGAACATATCATACAAAGCAAGAAAAATTGGCACCAGAGATTTACCTTTTTTTCAGAGATTTTTTTTTTCTGAAATTCCACCAGAATCAGGGGCTCCATATTGGACCACTTCTTTCCCTATCCTTTTCTATGGATGGATTTTACTATCTGTCTCTATTGACATCAGGGTGGGCTGTTGACTTCCTTTGGCTGATAAAGTTTAAGTAGGAAGCTATGCTGCTTCAGAGCAGAAGGCTTCAGAGCTATCCTGTAGACCCAACAAGTCCAACAGCACTCTTTTTGAGGCTTGATTCCTACTCATGTTTGTCCAGCAAGTCAGACTGGCCAAGAGTAGCAGTCATGTTCTACAAGGGGAATGGAGGGTACTGTTTAATTCAATGAGTCATTTCAGTGCAAGTAAGTTACAAGAACTGCTATTGTTTTATTTTATTAATGTATGGTCAAAGTATGTTTAAATTTTTAAAAATTTATGTTGGATTTCAAAAATCAAGTTTTAAATAACATAGTACACAGATTAGTTAATTAGCTTACAATAGACAACCAAACCATTCCTAATTTACAAAGTAATTGGAACATTATTTTTGTTATGTTTTATAATAAGACTATCACCTACATTTGTGTTTTTCCTAGGACACTGAGTTTCTGTTAGGTTTCTACATGTAGCAACTCCTATACTAGAACTTCATGTCAGATCTGTTTCTTGCTGACCTTGCTCTGAAAAAGAAACTGCTTATTCACAATCTATCTCCAATCTCAAAAAGAATAACCAGTTTAGGGTAAGTTTTGCCTTAGTTTTTTCAGGAAGTTTGAATGGGTCAGTGCAACCTAAATCAACCTTCTCTGATTCTGCCATCGCACAGAACACAAATTATTTCTCACTCATTATGTACTTAATTCAAACATATCTTTATTATAGAGCTTTTTTTTTTTACTTTTAATTTTGGAACAACTTCAGCTTAAAAACTAGTTCAATAAAAAGTATAAAGAACTGCTAAACATTTTATACCCGCAAATCATGTTTAGACTTTCCCACATATTCTAGTATCTTTCAACAGAAAAAGAACCCCATCTTGGACCATATGTTGATCTAATGGATCTTGGGTCTTTCCTCATTTTCACGACCTGCAAGGTCACAGGCAAGTCATTCTGTAGAGTATCCTTCACTCTGAGTTTGTTTCACATTTCCTCATTTTTGAGCTTTGATCAATTGATTTAAAATGTGTTAGGTTTCTCTACTATGAAGTTTCATTTTACCTTTAGTGACTAATAAGTATTTCAAAAAGATACTAAAACAAATTATCTTCTTTGCATGAATTAATTTTTTTTATTCTGATAGTGGAACAATAGTGCTTCTCTAACTCAATAGTCACTTCTACATTTACTAGCTGGCATTCTACTGTTGAAAAGTTTTCTTTTCTCTTTGCTATTTATTTTATCAGTATAGACTTATATGTTCCTTTGTTATTCAAGAATAGTAATTAACTGATATCACATACTTATATTAGTAGCTGAAATTCTCCCAAATTTGACCAGGCAAGCCCCTTCACAGTGGCCTCTGTGCTGTTATGACATAGTCTCATCATTTTTTGTGCATTTCTTTGTATTTTGGTACAAGAGAACATGGGTGGCTTATCTTGTTATTTTTCCTGCCCATCCCTGGAGTCAGCAAATTCTTTAAAGAATCCTGTTTACTTTTAGTGTTTCCTAAAGAATGTTCTTTAGAGGCCAAGATAGCCACATCAAGTTTGTTCATTGTTACTGTGGCATGACTGCTACTAGGTTCTTTATTCCATATCGTTGAACTGTTTAATGCTAGCCATTGCTCTGAGCTATATCCCAGTTCACTGGCTTTATATGGCTTTTATCTGTCTTTCAGTATGAAGTAAAACAGATCTAGGAAAATAAATATACACATAGACACACAACTCTAGTGTATCATGGGGGTGCTATACTCACCAGTGAATGAATCTACTGTGCTCATAGCTGAGCATGCTGTTAGGAGGTGGGCCCCCAGGGAGGTGGGTCTCTGTGGATGTGTCTTTGGAGGACACAACTCTCTGATGTGCTTCTCTACATTCTGCTTCCCACTGCCATGAAATGAACAAGTTTGTCCCACCCCACCCTTCTTCCACGATGTTTCTGCCTTAGAGCCAGCTTACCAGGGACTGAAATTTCTAAAATGGTGAGCCCAAATTCACTTCTTTGAGTTGTGCTTTTCAGGTATTTTGTCCCCACAATGAGAAAGCTAGTATAACAAATATCTCCATCTCTTAAAGTAGCAAAACTTACATCCAGGTGCTCAAATACTGGAAACCCTCTTCTGATTACTCTCTTCTGTCCTGTAAGAATGCTCTGTGGGTCTTCCTTCTGAATGTGTCTCCAGCCAGCCTGTTCTCTCACCACCATCTCCCATGTGGATCACTGTAAAATTCCATGAAGAGCTGTATCTGCTTCAACTCCTGTCCCCCAAAATTATTTTTTAGTGTGTATACTGTCTTAAAAAATAATTTTTCTCATGTCTATATAGCAGCCTTAAACTCATTCACTATTTTTCTTTAAAAGATTATACTTCGTTCTGCTTACACTATCACTACCTATCGACAGCTTCCCTCTCCAATTTTCAGTTAACTATGCCTGTCAATACTGATATTTGTCTGATTCTTTCAAGAGAGACCACATTTATGTAACTTTTATTATAGTTCATTATTACAATTTTTATTTTATTAGTTACTACTTTTTTACAGTACTTAATTTATACATCAAACTTTATTATAGGTATGTATGTATAGAAAAAACAGCATATACAGCATTTGGTACTGTGTCTTCAGGCATCCACTGGGGGGGGTCTTTAAATGTATCCCCCATGGATAAGGGGGTTACTATAAATAGTTCTATAAACTGGGATACGAACATAAAAATAATGGATCAAAATAATGACCTAATTCTTAAAATGAAACTGAAAATAGTCTTTCCCTGAAGGAAGATTAAGCGCACATATTAGTCTAAAGAAGCATGCATAATACAAGTGTAACATTTGTTTTTTAAGCTTAGATCTTATTTTTATTGATATATAAACATACATATGTTGAAGTACATTGACATAATTTGATACTTGTATATAAGGTCATGATAAAATTGGAGTAATTAGCATTTCCTTTTCCTTAAATATTTATCATTTTTTCATTCTGTAAACTGAACTCTTCTGTGTTAGTGAGCTTTCCATCACCATAATGAAATACATGAGTAGCTAACTTATAAAGAGAAAATATTTATTTGGGATCACACTTTTGGAAGTTCCAGCACATTATGGCATGAGCTCACAGTGGAGCAAAATCATTCATCATATGTCCAGGAAGGGAGAGAGTGACAGAAAGACAGAAACAGAGACAGAGAAGGATCCCACAGTTCCCACAGGATTTACAGACTTTCCCCTTAGGTCTCATTTTTAAGATTCCACCTCTTCTCATTAGGGCCACCCTGGAGGTCAAGCCTTTAACAGATGAGCCTTTCAGAGATTCAAAATCCAAACTATTGCAGCCTCTTTTCTGATTCTTTGTAAAATATACAATAAATTAATGTGAACTATTTTACCCAGCATATTGTGCTGTAGACCATTAGAATTTACTCCTCCTATGCAACAGTAGGTTGGAACCCATTACTTATCCTCCTTCTCTACCTTCTCCTTCCTACCCTTCCTGTCCTCTAATGGCCACCGTTCTACTCCCTAGTCTATGAAATTAGCTATTTTTAATTTTTAAATTTTTATTAGTATATGTTTATAGCACATAATGTATATTCATTGTGGTGAGTTCATGCTGGCCTTGAACTTAATATGTAACCTGGGCTGGCCTCAAACTCACAGTGATCCTCCTGCCTTGGCCTCCAGAATGCTGTGGTTAGAGGTATGCACCACGATGCCCGGCTTTCATAATTCTTTTCAGTATCTCTTTCTTCTCTCCTCCTTCCCCCATCTCTCCATCTCTTGGTCCCTTTCCCTTTTGCAAAAGATCTATCTCCCTGCTTCCTATTATCTAATTTTCATTTTTCTCTGTGTATATATTTTGGGTTTCTCATGTAAAAAAGAAACCATGCAATTTTTAGGTTTGTGCGTCTGATGTATTTCACTTAACATTATGATCTCAAGGTGCATGCATTTTTCTACAAATGACTCAAGTTCGTCCTCCATTATGGCAAAGTAGTACTCCATTGTGTATAAATACATTTTCTTTATCCATTTATCTGTTGATGGATATACAGGTCACTCCCGAAATTTAGCTATTAGCAGCATAACTCATGAAATCATCTATTTAAAACTTTCACATAAGAACAAGAACATGTAGCATATGTCTTCCTATTAGACCTCTTTATTAATGTTTATTTTTCTACTAATTCCTTATTTATCCAATTAAAGTTGTACAATTCCACAAAGGAAAAAGAAGGAAGGATTATTTGTCCAAATAATAGAAGACATATCAATGTGTTTGTTTTTTTTTTATCCTAGAATAAGGCTGCTTTTATCTTCAGGGAGGGGTAGTTTGGAAGTGAGTGCTACTACTTGGAATGTGCTCGGTGGTCAAATTTATTGGATAGAGCAAGCACTTCTAATTTCCCGTCTCAAATGTAAAATTCTATTTTTAGAAAATCTCCAGAATGGCTTCCTTCCTCCTTTGAATGGTGTTACAATGTTTACATTGTTATTCTTATCATCTTGTAAGACAATCCTCTCCAGATGGTACCATGATGATCATGATCAGAATCAGCACTTAATTAATTATGCATATTAAACAACTGAAATCACACATAGATTCTACTACCTGGAATGCTACTGGGATGCTTACTATTTCAGAATCTTAGGATATAAAGGATACACAGATGTCCCATTCTATTATCTCATTTTCAAGTACTTTTAAAATTTACTAGAAGTGAAGTTTATAAAATTAGATCAATTTTTCTTTTATAATGTCTAAGATGGAAAAGTAAAGAAAAAAGAAATTTGGAACTCTCAGAAGACAACCTAGATGCTATATATGATGTGGACATACCTTATCTCATGTACCTCTTGTCTTTCCTTTACCTTAAAATCCTAAACATCGGTAAAGTCAATGGTAGAGCCTCTCCTGAGAGGGCATTTTTATTTTGTTAGAATAGTAAACTGCTCTATGGCCAGGATGATGGTTTTCTTACATCATGCACTTTCACTGAATACAAAACTTTGCCAAAACTTTTGACAGATTTCAAATTCAATTAACCATAATTCCCTGGTGATTTTTCTGTCTACAATTTCTGATGATGAATCATATAATTGTTACGTATGTTAGAAAGTGATTTCTTTTTAGTTACAGGGTAGGATTTTAGCAGACAGACAATTGAGCAGACATTCTATATGTGTGCCCATGTAGAATCAGAAAAATCCCCTCATGCATATTGTGAATCAGAATTTCATGTCCCCAAGGACAAAGTTTGTAATCTTGGGTCAAGAGGCAATGGTCATCAATAGAAGAGACAGAATTTGCTCATAGTTTGTCACTTTCTCATTTTGTGGGTCTATAAAAATACCCCCAGGTAAGTAATGTTAGTTTTGAATCCCCACACACCACCCAGTACATTCTCCACACTGTAGCTTGGATGAAGTTTCTAAGCAAATGCATTCATGTTAACCTTAAATTCAAAATTATTCATTAACTCACCACTGTCCCCAAGATAAAGTCTAAATTCTACAACATAGCTTCAAAACATTTTACTTCTGGTATCTGCCTGTATCACTTTATATATCTGCCAGCCTTGCCTCTTGCATTTAGACTCCAGCCAAATGGAACAACTCTAGGTTAAACCAAGCCAAGAAGTCTTGCTGCATGAAGTGTTCATTCCTCCTGAATACTCCCAAGTTCCTCACCTGGATAACCCCTATTCATCCTCCATATCTCAAGATCTCCTTTCCTTTATGAGACTTTTCCTGGCTTCCCAAGACTGCATTTGGGACTTCTATTCTGTGCTCCCTTAAACTCCTGAATTTATCTCTGTTATAGCATGGATCACAGAACTTGCTCACTTTTCCATATCATTGTATATATCTTGAAAATATCCTTGCATTCAACAGTCATGTACCACATAGTGACAATTTCTATTGGGAACAGAGCTTATATCTGTGACTGATCCTATTAGATTATATTATGTAGTAACATTGGTCTGTATAAACATATTCTATGATGTTCACATAATGGTAAAATTGCTTAAAAATATGTTCCTCAGAACACACTCCCATCATCAAATGACTCATGACTGCATTAGCAAAAAATGACCCTGAATCAACGTTTACTGAACAACACAATGACTCTGAAACAAGAGTCTTCCCAACAGTAGAACCTACAATTACAGACATAATGTCCTGTTCTTCATGTCCTGATCAAGAGTCCAGTTTCTCTATCAGAACACTGATATTAAGTAAAAATTTCACAGATCAAGTTCCCAGTTTTCCAAAATGGGAGAGCCTTTCACCTAAATAGCCTTAAATCTTGCTTTTTATCTTAGCTAATCTAGTACCCACTCCTTGACTTTCAGGGATTCATAAAACATCTTTTTCAATTTCACAGTGCCATCCTGACACTGTATTGCTTTGCTTCTCTTACTGTCCTTCCATTCTTAACTAGGATTCACTCTCTTAACTCTTTCAGGTCTGCCATTGCTATCTTATTGTTTTATTTTAACCCATCGTTCAATTAACCGTTATTTCCCTATGCACAGACAGCACATCTTACGCTTATTAAATGTATGACAGAATCTAGAATAATGTTCATGAAAGTGGTTACCCGTCTGCCTTTTACTATGTCATGCTTTTAGCTGAAACTTGTGGGTTTTTTTTTCTTTGATTCCTATCCAGTTTACTTTGCTACATTCTAGATTTTAGATTTTATATGGCTGGATTCATATGTTATTGTTCTTTTGCCATTAAATGTGAATAATATGTATATTACACATGGAACAAATGTTTGGCATGATTGATGATAATGATGATAATGGTATGTATTCAATAAGTATGTGTTGACTATTTGGTTGATTTCCCATGATAAATTTTTTTCCAGTATAAAAATTTAAAAAATATATATTTGTGTAAAAGAGTATATATCTGATTAATGGAGCCATAGGAGCCTGAAAATGATATGGTTTCATTGCTCTTTTGTACCTGAGCTTGATCATCTCTTGTATTGATATCCAGAGATCCCAGAGATAGTCTTCCTGGGCAAGTAAATTTCAGCAAAGAGCAACATTTCCATCATAGAACATTTACCTGTAAAGGAGTCTTCTTCTTTGAAGAGAACATATTAATTCATTTTCTGTATAGCAGAAAGCAAATAATATGTAATTATCTTTGGTGCTGATACTTCCTTGTGATTATTACATTTATTTTGAGATTTACAGCTATAAAGAATACATTAAGAAATGAGGTCCAGAACTCTGTTATATACCCAAGATATAAGGATCAAATTTATAATTAATATTAGCTTAAGATAATTAATACCATTGTTCTATTGTTAGGTTATCATGGGATCTAAAACTGCTTGTGCTACACTGAACAGTTACATTTCCTAACACTCTTCCTCCCATACTGAGAATCATCTTACCTTCTTTAAATATGCAAGCCCTTTCGTAAGCTGATGTAAGTTGTGCTTACCCCAAAGAGCATTATAGCAACAACAACAGTGAAACTGCACATGTTAGCCAGCTTTCTGTCACTATGATAAAATATTTCAGATAAACAATTAAAACAAAAATTTGTTTGGAGTTGTTGTTTCAGGGGTATTTTTGTTTATGGTCACTCGGTCCCATCAGTTTGAGCCTGTGATGAGACAAAAAACATCATTGCAGGGAGCATGTGGTACAGCAAAGCCATTCACTTCACAGTACCTAGAAATCAGAGAAAGCAAAGGGAAAGAGAAGCAGCTGCGGTCCTCATATCTGCTTTAACGGCATGACCCCAATGATCTACCTCCTCTACTAGGCCCTCCTTCTAACATCTCCACTACCACCCTGGTTACTACGCCTTCAGCACATGGGCCTTTGGGGAACATTTATTTATTTCTAAGAACTTCATTGTTAGGGCTATAATTGTTACATTCTCTGTTTTGGTACACTGTGTGACCCAACATACTGTGTTTTTAATTGCCAAGAGAAGTTTGAATATTCTCATCACATGACAGGGATATGAAATAATGCATACATTCATTACCTTGATTTAGCCACTTTGCAATGCTCACATATTTCAAAACATCATATTACCCATTATATATATATATATATTCAAGTAAGATTTGTTCAGGGATACAAGTATGGCATTCATAAAAGTGATATACCACATTAATATAATAAAGAACAAAAGTCTATATGATCATCTGAATAGATTCATAAAAATCATTGGAAAGAATTCAACATCATTTAATGATTTTTAAAAATTGACAAATTAAGCTAAAACTTGGAAACAGCCCATTTGACCATCAGTTGGAAATTAGATAAAGAAGATGTGGTTTTTCTATAAAATGGAATACTACTCAGCCACGAAGAATGAGAAATTAGATTCATTCATAGGAAAATGGATACATATTGAGGATATACTCCTAAGTGAAAAGTCACATATGTGTAAATACCGTATAGTTTCTCTGGTGTGAAAAACTATAATAGCACATAAGATCCTAATGAGATAATTGAAAATGTCAAATAGGAAGAAAAGGGCTAAAGGTGTAGGGAAAGTGAGAAGGTTAGGGGAAAGGTAATAAGGGAAAAGAAAAAATATGAGAAAATGAAAAAATGGGGAGTTTGTAAACAGGGAGGGGAGGAGGGGGTGAAGGGAGGGCAGGGGTAAGGGGAAAAAAGGAGAATCAAGACCTGTCATGTAAAGGTACAAGATCCCAATAATGAATGTAACTGTACTGTATACCTAAAATGTACCAATAAACTCAATTAAAAAATTGACAAATTAAGAATGGAAAGAATGCACTTCAACAAAGTAAAGGCCATACACAACAAACCCATGTAACATTAAAGAAATCAAAAAAGAAATCAAGAAAACCATAAAATAATAGTCATGAAACATTGAAAAACTAAGTTGAATTAAATTGGAAAAATTAATATTGTCAAATTACCTAAAGGCCTATATAGTGAAAACTACAAAACATTAATTTAAAAAATGGAAGAGATGAAATCAAAAGAAAATATTATTAAAATGTCAAAATTAGGGCTGATGATATAATTCAATGGGAGAATGCTATAGCATGCAAGAAGCCCTGGGCTTAACCCCCAGAAATTAGGAAAACAGTATTACCCAAAGTGATATGTGGATTTAATGGAATTATTAGCAAAATCCCAATAACATTTTCACTGAAATAGAAAACACCCTAATATTTGTGTGCAGTCACACAATCACATAGCTAAAGCAATTTTGAGCAAAAAAGAGCAAAGTTGGAGGCCATATAATACCTGACTTTCAAATACACTACAAATCTTAGTAATCAAAACTGAAAACAGACTGGTAGACAAATGGAACAGAATATATATCCCATGAATAAATATACACATGTACAGTTGATTGACTTTTAAAATTGCTTAGAGTACATTTGAAGAATTCTCTTCACAAAAAAACAATGTACATATGTTAACTGCCTTGATTTAGCAATTCTGCAATGTATATATATTTCAAAACACTATGTTGTGTATATAATATGCATGTTTGTTAATTGAAAAAATACAGTTGATTTAGAAAAATTAATAAAAATTCAAATAGTTTGTTCAGTACTATTTATCAAAGCTATTATTTCAATATATAAAACAAGAGATTTATATATTCAATATACTTAGATATTTTTTCCAAAATTGAAAGTGTATTTTATGCTTTTATATTTCAGTTTGCATCAGATACACTTCAAGTGCTCAATAGCTACATATGGTTCATGGTTAGTTACCATGTTAGACAGTGCAGCGCTGTAATGTACAAAGCATGTTATAGTACAGGAATATTAGCAATTACAATAATTAGTAAAACCCACAGAGAGGCATATTTTATTTGTTTATTCATTCATCCAATGTTGGCTGTGCCAACATAGTTCATGCCTTCGTACTACAGTTCATGCCTTCAGAATTCAGAGATAAGAGAATTGACAAATGAAAATAATTAGAATAGTAAATTTAAAAGTATCACAACAGAAGCACAAATTAAAATGCTTGGGGCTTCAGCAGAGAGAGGTTTTTTTGTAGCTGAGAAACTAAAAAAATTTTTGAGGCATTTAAACTGAATGATAAAACATAGAAAGACTAAATAGTAGACAAAGTTATAGTGAGAGGAATTTCAGAGGAAGAACACAGCCCGAGCAGAGATGTGAAAGTTGGCCTTCTAAGGACAGTATGTGTAAAGTAGTGCAAAGTTCTCTAAGCTTGACGTTTAAAGTGAGTGAAAAGGAATATCTTAGTCAATTTGGGCTGCTCTAAGAAAGTACCGTGAAGTTTATAAATAATAAAAACTTATTGCTCAGAGTTCAGGAGGGTGGAAAGTTCAAAATCAAATAACCGGTGAGTTCAGTATGTGCTAAAGCTCCATTCTACTTCGAAGATGGTGTCTTGTTCCTTTGTCCTCACACACTGGAAGAGGGAAATGCTGTGTCCCCACATGGCAGAAGGGCAAAAGGGGCTAGAGTGTCCCCTTCACTCTCTTTAGAAGAATAGCTATTACCATTAAAGTGAGTGGGGTGCTCATGAAGTAATCATACCTCTTACTACTTTCACACTGGATTATTACATCCCAACATGACTTTTGGAGGGACACATACATTTGAATCATGGCAAGAAGTATGGAGAAAGGCTTCAGATGTGGAGGATAAGTATCCACTTCAGTTTTAGCCAGACATTAGCTATAGACTCAGAAATTCAGTGTAAATGAATGAAAGTATTGTGTGAGAGTCAATAAACTCTACTGAATTTACAAAAAAAAAGGTATCATTTGTTTTTCATTATTTGTAAGTTGTGTGCTATATTTTCTTTACATTAGTACAATTTATAATAAACTTACCTATGGATTTAGAGAGCCATGTATTAAATATTTAATTGCATATTACTGGCTAAGTTCCTTCATCATTTTCACATTTTTACCATCCCTAAGAAATGAGAAAAATCCATTGATTCAGAGATTTTGTTACCTTTTCTATTTTAACAGAACCATTCTAGAATTCTACTACCATAACAAATCAGGAGTCTGGGGAAGGGATAAGTCTAAAATGAAGATTTCATCAGGGTTACTCCGAGAGTCTTTAAGAGTAGGCTTAAAGACAACCTATTATTCATGACTTAAATAAAATTTCTTAGCTGTACTCTTGACTTGTCAACAGAGTTTTGGCTTACTTAGATTATTTTTATTGGGAATTTTTGCTTCTTTTGTTCTCATTTCTCTAAATTAGCCTGGAATCATAGCTTACAGGGCTCGTGAAACATAGTCTTGATAATCTTTCAGGTGAATAAACCTTGAATGTGTCCCAATGCTGCATGACAGAATGTTTCTTCCTTCCTTCCCTATGTCAAACCAAGTTACACAAACTGAGACCCCACGAGTCCTCACCCACATTGAATCCAGCTCTGGGAAAACATTAAGTACAAAACAACTGAAAGGATTATAGGTACTGCTTGTTCCACTTGCAGTTATAGTTTCTCTATAATACAGAGAAGGAAGGGCATGTTCAAGGCCTCACTGCAGAACTGGCATTAATTCTTTAAGCATTATTTCTTCCATATATTTATTAGGGCTGAGGTTGTTGGGATGACTCACACACACACACACACACACACAAATCAACTAATATTTTTCCTTATACCACAGCTAACTAAGCCTCAGAAATTAGGTGATATTTATTTAAAGACAAATGCATCAAAGCTTGGCAAAATTCATAACATAAGAATATATTATGTGATTATAGTATTCTCAAAAGTGAAAGAAATATGTACAGCTTATTGAAAGCCTCCTCATCTCAACCAAATATACTTCCTGAACAGATGTGTTTTAGGCATCAAAATTTGATGCTTTTATGTAATCATTTTAAAATTGGAGAGCTAGACAACCATAATCAAAATTAAGAGCGTGACAATTTTTTGAAACATTAGGTGTCTGAAATATTATCACCTGACTTCTCCATGGGACTGTGCTATCAGTTGATTTTAAAACTACTCTATGGGTCTTGGGTTAGCTTGGGCCTCGTCATTAACCAACATGTTACATCCCACCTTTCAGCAAATAACTACACTGCTATCAAAACAATGTGAAGTCAAATCTGCTTATATTTTCTCATCTAAGGAAAAACGGGGGTCTAATATTTCAAATCAAACAAGACTGTTATTCTCATGGGGACAGAAAATCTTAAAGATAATTTCTACCAACTCAGAAAACCCTTACTTATAATTTCAGACATTACAGTAGTTTTAAATATTGTAGTTCATCCTTTTTGGAAGTTTCAAATTAATCACTGTCTTGGTTACTTTTCTTATTGCTAAGACAAAATATCTGACACCTACAAGTTAAAGGTGGAAAGGTTTATTTTAGCTCACAGTTTGTGGAGGTTTCAGTCCATAGTCAGCTGGCTCCAAGGGAGGTGGTTAGACAAAGGGGCATCACAGAGGAGAAACAGCTCATGCAATGGAAGGCAGAAAGCAGCAAGCAGTAGCCTTTCTGCTTTCATTCTCTTTCATTCCAGGATACAAGCCTATTGGTTGGTGCCACTCACACCCAGGGTAAGTCTTCTGTCTTCAGTAAATCCATTCAGTCACATCCAAAACTGCATAATCCTGTATCTCACTCCCATGATTCAGTAACTCCCAAAAGCCCCACCTATAAGTACATGAGGCTTTAAGGGGACATCTAAATATAAACCATAACACACTTTTCCTTTTTATTAATGAATTGCAAAAAATATTAAATATATGTATAAAATATTTTCTCCAATATATTGCCCAAAGCAACAAGGCTCCTAATTAAGACTTTTAACCACAGGTTATGATTATGATTTCTATTATATTATAAAAAGAATCATTTGTTTATATTAATAATACAAATAAAATGGGAAGATAAGCTTATATATCCAAACTTTGCTAAATAAGATAAAACTTTCTAATTCCAGAAACAAAACAAAGATATTATTGCCTGTATATACTTAAACATATATATGTATATCTCTATATACTTTCAGATATGCACTTATATATAATAATCTGCGGATTAGGCAGATAAACCCCAAATAAAAAGCCATTGTGGCACTGTCCAGTTGTTTGGAGTCTAGATTTTGCACTTCCTTTCAAACATCTGATACCTTCATCTTATTCTACAAGGCCCATTTTAGTTCCTCCCTCCTGTTTAACCAGAAACATGCCACATTCTTCTGAAATCTGATCATATATTGCATCTGTGTGTTTGGCAGCAGTACCAGGCAAGAGCTTTGTATCCAGCTGTAGAAATTTACACTGCTGGAGCTGAACTGTGATTTTATTCAGACTATGTATGAGAACTGGAGAAATATAGGTATAGTTAATAGACCTCCAAAGCAGATAAAAGACAAAAGGGGGTTGAGCAGAATCAGGAAACACAAGGAGAGGGATGCTATGCGATCTCAGCTGCAAAGATTGAGCAGGAAGAGACTTCCTACCAAAAGTCATCTCAGTGTGACTTGCCCAAAGTTCATTAACAAATATTTACTGTGTTTTGTAGGTGTTGACATAGAAATATGTATCTGGCAATAGCAACATAAATGAGATGTGGCCACAGCCCCAAGAGTGATTAGGCTCCAGTGGATTTACACTTTTCAGGGAGAAGGGCTGCTGCTATATGGAATGCTACAGGAAAGAGGTGGAGCACTTGGCTAGGAATGTCATGGGATTTGCAAATACTTTGTGAAGGAGATGATGTCTATAATGTATCCAACATCACTCACACAATGCACAATGGAAAGACCATTGGTCATAAAACAAGAGATTATTGTTCGCATCCTAAGATTCCTGCTCATTAGCTTTGTAATCTCCAGCAGTAATGATAGTAGCTAATAGTGATCAACCTCATATTGTGTACAGCAGAAAATGTGGTAAGAACTTTACACCAACTACTGTCTGGGTGAGAATTATCTCTGCCCCCCCATTACAGAAAAGGAAACAGCATCACAGATATGTTGTTACTTACTCGAGATCAAGGAAAAGGTGAAAGAAATAGTTTTGCGCTACTTTGCCAATTACAACTGCAAACTCTAAACATGTCCAGATATGGGTTAGTTTTCTTATCTGTAAAACAAGGTTAATAGCCAGGTGTGGTGGCACATGCCTGTATTCTCACCACCTGGGAAGCTGGGATAGGAGGATTGCCAAAAGTGTGAGACTAGTCGGGGTTACACAGTAAGTTCAAGTCTAGCCTGAATTATATAACAGGACCGGGCCTCAAAAATCAAAAAAAATTTAATAGGGTTAATAAAATGTCTGTCATACTTAACATCACAAAATCCTGGAATCAAATGAGATAGGGCATGCTGGAAAGTGTATATTCAAAAAAATAATTCTTTTTTACAGTTACTGTAACAATAAGTGACTATATACCACTGTTTCATCAACACACACAATAAAATTTCTCATAGCTACAAAAGCTCTCCATAATGGTATAGTGTGTTTAATGCACCTATGATGTAACAATTGTTGGCTTCAACACCTAGAGAATGCATATCCAGGGGCACAAGCAATTCTTGCCTAAATCCCTGAATATTGTCAGTGATGTGAATATTGTGACACTTGGAGCTCATGTTAATCACAGAAAACAGCACAAAGGCATTGCTCAAAGATTCTATCTGGAGTATTGTATCTAGGGACATCTTTCCTCTATTTGGGGACAGACTGCTCAGAGCAGAGAAATGGTAACTAGAAGCTAAATGCAGGCTCTTCTACATATTTCTGAGTTATATTGCCACATACAGCTCACTAAGTGATTGAAAGGAAGGAGGGCACCAGAGATTACTCCTTCTCTAATTTCACTGTTTGTTCTGAGTGCAAAATGGAGAGCCAAATGGCATGAAAATTTGTAAAAATCCCACTTTAACGTTATTTAAATCTTCCCTCATAGTTTATTTATAGCAGATGTGTAATGATGAGATCTGCAACAATCCTTGGAGCAACGAACCTGAGATCAGTTATTGATTCCTGAAGGTTCCACTCTGCAAACACTAGCCCAATTTTATTAAGCTCTTACGTTTCTAGCACTGAGTAGGATGCTGTAGAGCAGTGCTTCTCAAACTTGAATATGCACACAAATCACTTGACTCTCTTCTTAAAGCATAGGTTTTAGATTCGGTAACTCTAGGACTGGGCTCAAATCTGTGCATTTCTAACAGCCCCACAGGCAGTGCTGCTGCTAATGTTGATCCACAAACCACACCAAAAAGTAAGGTTGCAGGGCACACACAAATATAGAAGCAAGTATTTCTGTACCTAAAGAGCTTGTATTTTGCCACAAGATTAATTAATCTTCTATGATTAATGGTACTAGTCCTAGGATTTTCAAATAATTTAAGGAATGTTGAATAATTTTCAAGACAGCACTCCTCTGAAGAATATTTATATATATTTTGGGGAATCAACTGCTTTTGAAAAGCCAATATTTAATGTTATAGATTTACAAATTTTTTCATTCTTTACTGTCAGACATTAGTTATCAAAACTTTAGTTTTTTCTTGAATATGATGATATTCTAAAGTCATTAAATCCTTAATAACATTAAATTAATTAATCCAGAAGTGTCTCTTGTGTCATTATTTAATATACAGTCAGTTACTAAATTGCGAATTGGCACTAACAGCATTCAGTAGGGACAACAAGAAGACTGCGGCTAGCCATTGGGCATGAAGGCAAAAAGTATAATAGCAACTAAGTTTAGGTAGTTAGGAATCTTATTAATATCAGAAAGATTCTTTTTAATTCAGAACAATAAGAGATTTGGGTAAGACAATGAAAGGATTACATGAAATCTACTACCAGATAATTCAAATACACCCGTATAAAGCAAAATATAAATAACATAGAAATCAATACGTAGACCAATTTAGATGTTGTAATTACTAATTAATCTCTTTTCCGTAG